GACAGATACCGGAAGTGAGAGAAAAGAGTTTATTACGTTTGAAATATGGATATGTTTTTTACAAAAACGCATGGATTCACTACAGGAGGCCTTTATTCACCCCCCGGAGCCGTGTGAGGCACATTTTATTATGAATGCGCAAGCTTTATTTGACGACTTGTGGACTGTTCAACTGCAACACCCGCTGACTGCAATGATAGAGCTTGGAATAGCCAGGACAATTTTTAATATAACTCTGACTGGATTCGTCTGAAAGAAGAAAGTCATATACACCTAGGATGCTTCAAGGGTAAGCAAAACACAAGCTAATTTAATATGTTCTTTCAGAGCAGAGCAGTCAACAAACAGCAGTGAGTTGAAACGGGATAAATTCAATGGGAAAAAGATACACATGAAATAAACAATTTAGGCTACTAAAAATAATAGCCTTTTTTATTAACTTTAAATGACAGAAACAACAGCAGCTTTATTGGCTGCTGTCACTTAAATGCACAGATCTAATTTACTGACGAGCACTCACTTTGCAACTGTTTATGTTCATTTCAAGACATAACTGACTGTGTTTAAGTGAAAACTCACCAAAACAGACATTTTCACATATTTTGTGTGTGTATTTGTCCGTTTAAGCACACACCCGAAGCACAAGCATAGCCTATAGCTAACTTGTCCATTTTTCATCTCTAATCACGAGCACAGAAAGCACCTGGGGAACAGCATCTATCAATAAGAGTGTGCCTCATATTTCCAGAAAAGTGAAGCCAAACCGTTTCGATCATCCCCTGGTGGCTGACTGCAGTATAGGTCCTAAACCCTGCCCTCTCCATGTTTACGAATGGGACGTGAGTCAAACTAAAACATCAAATTACACTTCAAATAAATTTTTCCCAAAGGTATTTCTGTAGGATCTCTGTCTTCGAACGGACCCACTTACACTATTGAGTCACACATGAAACAATCACATTCCATTGAGACAAACTGAGGAGCCCCTATGCAGCCAGCTGCGGTCGTAAAACTCATGCAGGGTCAGTGAAGTGTTGAAGCAGTTCCTGTACTATCTAGCGTATCGTCTCAAGAGACTCAAATAAAAAACAGTGCTTAAACCCTAACTCAAACTAGGATACAAAACTATCTTTGTTTTACGGGCTTTCAAGGACCAGATGCGTGATACCCCCCCCTGCCGTAACATCACGGGGATCCAGAACTCAAATACTCCGTTTGAAACTTCATAACTCTGCAGAACACAAAGCCTTGCTAAAACAGAGACTTTTCAAAGGACTGTTGAAGCCTCTTCCGTCATCAGGCAAACATCCAATGCAACGAGGGCTTTCCCGAAACGACGTCATCCAAACGTCACCTCAGCGACCAATCCAAAAGCTCCGGGGTTCCCTCAGCAGCCATCCAGGAAACCTGTGTCAGCAACGAATCATCTCAGTTTTTCAGCTCTCACCCAAAGCAAAACGCAAGTAAACGAACAAAATCTTATCTCTGTTGAACTGGTGTCGAGTTAATTTAAGCAGTAAACTTAAGACAAACCTCTGCTTTGTGAATTCTCTCAGGTGAATTTAAATCACTCGTGAAAACGAGTTAGAATTTTGAAACTTCAGGCAACTCCGTCAACTCTCATTCTAAAGAAACTGTATGTTTGTGTGTATGTGTGTTTTATTCAAAACCTGAGCTAGAAATAAAATTAATGATTAATTCCCTTATAGAATTAACGACTTAAATTACAGCTAAGTCACTACATTTCTTATGACTTTGATATTATATATAATAAGCACTATGTCTGCCGTCGCATCATCCAGGTGGATGCTGCACACTGGTGGTGGATGAGGAGATACCCCTGACAATGTAAAGCGCTTTGAGTGCCTAGAAAAGCGCTATATAAATGTAATGAATTATTATTATTATTATTATATGTTCAAGTGTTCATTTTTCTAAAAGTTTTTCTTTTCGTTAGTTTTTTTTGATGCTATTAAAACAGGATGTGGCATCATGATTGTGCACTTGCAATTGGGTCTGTAGGAGTTTGGGCAAGACTTTGATACCGCAGCTCCAGCTAATGATCACTACTGTGCAGACTCAGCTCCAAAAGACATCACTGGCGCAAAATGAGAGCGGTCATACCTGGGACATTTTTACTTCACTTTTATATTGTGAAAGGGAGTGGAGATGTGTCTTCCATTTTTTTTTAGAGTCTATGGAGTTGAGCCTCATGCTCACATCCGGCAAGAGCTCAACAGTCACTTTACATGATTTGACTGATTTGGATGTTATGTAGGAAAGGCAACAGCGCACCCTGTTTTCATAATTGTTGTAAGCCAAACTGAAAAAAGGAAACTACAATTCTATTAATTGCACAGCCAAAGTCATTAAATCATCTTTGAGAGCAAGGGGTGGTGATTGACCCTGGTGATTGCTCAAATGCTTCTTCAATTATCCACAAGCCCCCTGACAGCAGTCACTTTTATTATGAGAAACTTAGAAGTAAAGTAACTTAGAAGTGTAACTTAGATCACTGGAGCATCCAGAACACTCACATGCTGCTGTGTCCCTATGCTGTCAGGTATGCATCTTCCACTCTTAGATTTATCTTTGAGCAACTGATGTTATGTATGTATCACTCTGAGCTGAATTCTCATTGTTTATTATGTAATTGGCATGATACATTCTTACCTGACAAATAAAATGTTATATTTGATTTATTCTGAACTCTCCTGAATTCACTATGACTAGTAGAATATGTGGATCCAGGAGAGAACAAACTGAAGGCTCATGAATGAATGGAGCAGTAGAAATGTCCTTTTGATTTATGTCTATCACTGACTTAGCAAGTTGTATAAAAATAATTAAAACTACACTTTTTGTTATGAGCAAGCACTAGACGGCCAACTTACTTTCTGTTTTTACTATCCTTGTAGGGACATTTGGTCCCCACGACGTAGAGAATACCTGGACCACACACACACACTTCTGTCAATGGTAAGCGTTTGTGGTTTGTGTTCAATTCATCATCTGCATCATCTTTCAATCTGACCAATTTTTCAGTAAACAGAGTAAATGGTTTTGATATGGCATGTATGTTGCTCACATGTCTTTTGCTTGTTTTTCAAAAGATTCCAATTTGGTCATTATTAATGTGGCTTTAAAGATAAATATCTCACATCACCCAAAACAGCAAAGGTAAAGCTAGCAAACTGAAAAGGCAATATAAGTCAAACACAAATGTTCCATGATAAACCACATTCAACCTGATTGGTGTGACACTAGAGCAGTCTGCTGTAGTCGGATAAGCTTGTAGTGACTTACATCAAGGTAAACACTATTATCAGTTCCTGCATTTCTAGAGAATTTAAACCCATGACCTGCATAGATAGTGCCAAGCTATACTGAGCTGCAGGAAGGCTAGATTTCTGTTCTGTGCAGATCTTGGAAGCTCTCCTTACAGCTTTGTTTATTGTAATATGGTGTATTAAATAGTCTTTATATGGCATGTGGCTGTTGTTATAATTAAAAGCGCTGATGATGAGTCTACTGTGGACTAAGTTCCTCGTTGTGCCTAAAATATAAAAATTATGAATCATTTTAAATGTTTTGAACATAGAAACATGAGCTGTTGTTCTTTGAAAGGTTGATCATCAGTTTTAGAAAACAGACCAAAATGACATTTGTAATGTCTAATTAGGTTAAATGAGGTCATGGTCTCAAAAGGACTTTTGTGAACCAAAATGGTTGAATTTACTGCGGCTTTTCTCAATTGCAATATTTGCAACATTTTTTGTGTTGTTTTGCAGTGAAACCCCACCAATAATCATTATGTATTAATGTAATTAGTGACAGAAAAAGTAGGTACCTCTAAATATTTTTAGGCATAATTACTGAAATTAGTGGTGGTCCTGGCCTCCCATGCACAAGCCAATAGTAACACCCAGCATAGAAACATTCATAATTCTGCTTTGCTGAGACAAAGATGCCAGCACACACTGATTACAGAGCGTACATTTTAAATGTTTTAAATTATTATTTCCTATTTTGACAATTTAACTATTATATTGTTGTTTGTTGTTGTTGTTGTTACTATTATTATTATTAGTAGTAGTAGCAGTAGTAGTAGTATTAAAATGTTAATGTATTTTCAATTTAGAGGGACAGAGAAACATTCTGCATTGTTTATTTTTCATTTATATGTAAAGTGCTTTGTATTAGGAAGGTGCTGGCCATCAACAGAAACTTTCTAGCCCCTCCCAACTGTTCTTCAAAGAGTCCACACACACACACACACACACACACACACACAAAGATACGTCAAAAGATCTATCAGATGTCAACAAATCTCATTTCAGGTAAAATATTTTATGAATTAACATTCATGTTCTTTTTTTATTATTTTGTTATATTGTCTGTTTCAATTTTGATACATAAATTAAATTAACATTTTGACTAATATTATTGTTTTAGTGTATGTTCTTGCTCATTTATTCCTTGATACTATAAACTCCATTTAAATGTTGGATATTAGGCTACAAAACCATCAAAAGAACTCCAAAGACATCCAAAGGCTCATAAAAATTTAATAAAATGATTATCATATGTATAGTACAGCAGTGGCGAACTCCGGTCCTGAAGAGCCGCAGCCCTGCAGAGTAGAGTTCAGCTCCAACCCTAATTAAAACTCCCCTGCCTGTAGCTTTCTAGTAACCCTTCAGACCTTGATTAGCTTGTTCAGGTGTGTTTGATTAGGGTTGAAGCAAAACTCTGCAGGGCTGCGGCTCTCCAGGACCGACGTTCGCCACCCCTGGTATAGTATATGAATTTGAATAGCGATGTTTTAACAGAGGTTTATGTATATATCAGGAACACAAAAAAGAATATAAAAAATCGATGCGAAGCACATATCTTTTTGTCTTTTTTTAAATAGACACAACTTCTTCTGTTCACACTTCTTAATGAACTTGAAAAACATCAACATACTTATTACAGGTGAAATCCAAAACTTGTCTAAAATGGAAAGATGCAAGGTCATCTCTACTGACAAAACTACAGTTGTCATCCAAATAAATCCACAGGAGGCAAAAGACAGCGTTATTTTTGTTGATGGACAGCAGGCCAGAGGAACAAATCTCAATACAACTCTTAAAGGATTTTTAAAAGCACAACCAAAGGCACTGGGGGTAATGCATTTTGTGATGAATTATAATGATATATGGTTTGGGGAATTTTCTTATTATTCAATTTCCTCAAGATTGTTTAAAATGAAAGAAATCTCTAATATTTAATACAATATTATAATATAATATTTAATTCAATTTAGTCTGTGTACAATAAACATTGATACATCTTCTATTTTTGTGTATCATAACATACATTTTATGCGATCGTGAATGAAACATCTAACCTATATCTGCTCTCTAGACTGTACAGATAATGATTGGAGTGATGGTCTTCTTACTTGGTATTCTACACACCACAAATTTCTACAAATACTCTGCTATTGTTGTCTATAGTGGCATCACCTACTGGGGATCTTTCATTGTAAGTTTCATTTCATGGTTTTGTCTTATTTCCCTTTTAATTTTATTTTCCAGAATTAAATTCCTGTGTTTCTTTCTCAGTACATCAGTGCTGGCTCTCTGTCTGTTGCTGCGCAGAAAAAACTTAATCCGTGTGTGGTATGTACATACAGGATCACCCACCAATTTTAGCACATTTTAAATATTATTTTGTCACATTGTTTCTGAAAGTACTGATTTTGCATCACCTGAAAGGCTGGGATGGTTGTAACACTTTTTGATTTAACATCTGTAATTCATTCTTGCCCTATTTATGTCAAACTTGGATATGTTTTCCCCACACTTTTTGCTCCATATTTAAGTTTTTAAAATATATTTTTTTAATTCCTGTGTAAATTAGTCACATACAAAGCGTACTGTTGTTTACTGTATTGTACTGAAAACATGGACATCTGATTCAATTTTGTGCATGCATCAGATTTGAATCAGAAATCAATTATACTTCAAACATATTTTTATAACAGTCCCCATTTATAAAAATACATTTTATTCTAAAAGAAACATTTTTCATTATTTTATTCTAAAAGAAACAAAGCAAACAAGAAAAATGAATGAATACAAAAAACCATTGGCTAACAATTTTAAAAATGTCTGTGTCACAATTGTCACAATTGTCAGTGGCAGCTGTACATTGTCCCATTTGTGCACTCTTTATGTGTCCAGTAGAAGTAAATGGGGAAAGTTATGTTTGTCACAGTTTCTCCCTCATCATCATCATCATCATCATCATCACAATCACAGTGTTCACCCTTCACTGCTTTGGATACTTATCTGTCATTCCTTGTAGTTGTCTCCCCTTGTTGTTAAGTAAATCCTGCGTTTGAGTTCACCTCCTGTCTTGCCCTCAGTCTGTTACAATGTTACAACCCCCCTTGTTTGCTCAGATATGATATAATTCTAGATTTTATGCTTAAAAGTAATAATGCAAGCCTTTTCAGTGATCTGTTCTTTGAGTAATTTTATGAAATTAGTACATTCTGTTCCTGCAGGTGAAAGCCTCTCTTGGAATGAATGTGGTCAGTGCCGTAACTGCAGGACTAGCCATTGTACTGATGGGCATACAATTAAGAGTAATATCAATGGATCATTCAAGTTCACATGCTGAGGTATTACATGCATAATGTGCAATATTTTGTATTCATGTTTAATGTGTATTAATTTAAATTTTTAGTTTTTAAATGCCGCTATTTATTGAAAGGGACAGTTCATTAAAAAACATGAAAATTCTGTCATCACCTACTGACTCGTACATGACTCCAAACCTGTATGACTGTCTTTCTTGCATAAAGCACAAATGGAGAAATTCTGAACACTGGTCGCTCTGTAACATACAGTTACAATGACTGGGGATATTTAAAGATATCACAAAAGCAGTCCATATGATCACTGCACTATATTCTTGGCCATAGGAGAGCTTTGTGAGAGAAACAGGTTGAGATTTAAGTAATTATTCACTGAAAATGATGACATCCTCTCTAGCTGTCCTTGGCATGTTCATGAGAGATGTAGTGATGTCCTATTTATGAAAAAAAAAAATATTTGTTTGTTTGTTAACAATTTCAGTTTTCTCCACAAATTGAACTCGTCTGTTTCTAAGGTTCAAGACTCAATCCAAGGAAAAACACCTCACTGGAGGGGCAGATTATCAAGTAAATAAAAGCATACATATTGGTCTGTTCCTAACATAAACCAAAAGAAATCTCCAGTTCATTTTAATTGGAAAACAGTCTTCAAAAGAAAGAAAGGCATACAGGTTTGACTGATTTTTTTTTAATGACCTATTGATGGGATATTATTTCTGGAACTACTTTCATATATGGGCATGTTGAATGTTCTGTAGAAATTGCGGGTCGTTGGAATAATGCTGGTGTTCACCATTCCTCAGTTCATCATCTCCATCTGTATCTCAGCATTTGCCTGCAAAGTTACCAGCAACATCCAGTCTACAGTCATCAATGTTTTACTAAACTAGGTAAATTATTTAATGGCAGTGATGCTATTATTGCTATTACAAGCTTGGCAATCAGTTTTATCACAACAATCAATAGTTATTTCATTGTAGATAAGCCTTTCTGTTGAAGTTTTTTATAAGGAAATATAAAGTGATCAGCATATTTCATAGTGAACTGCCTTTAACCTTAGTGCATCGTACTGTATGAAATAGATAAATAAACTGTCAATGATAACCAGTTTTTATATAAAGTTTTTTCATTTGTAGTTATTTTAGTGCATCAAGGCAAACTAAAAACTATATATATATGGGAAGTACTTAGGCTGCGTTTACACTGGCACAAAAAAAATCCGATCTTTCGCTCACATCTGACACAGATCGGAATTTGTTGCACACGTGTAAACACAAAAACCCGCACGAGATCCGATTTTTTTTGCACCCGATCTGAGCCACTTCCAAATGTGGATTTTAATCGGATACACATCTAATATCTGATCTGAACATCCGACCTACTGGTTTGAACAGGTTTGAACACATATCCGATTCTCCACAGAACTCCCAATGCGAGGGCGACACCTTTGCTCATAAAGGTTTTTAATGGCGTTTTAATGCCGGGGTGCTGTATGCGCTCGCATTTTATTGAGATGGAAACTTTTTATAGGTAAGAAATTGCACATTCAGGAGCTGGTTTTCAACCCCCGCCCCGTGAATTTTGAAAATACAACAGCTAAAAGCTACATATATTTCTTAGCAATGAGGTGAGAATTTAGCAGTTTTTGTAATTAAACTGACAAGCTTGTTTGCAATGCGTCACAATCGCTCGCTCGCACGTGGGTGCATGCGTTCGTTCTCTCTCTCTCTCCTTAATTCGAATTCATTTCAATAAATATCATCTTTATTTCACTAAAGAATTCTACCTCTAACGAGCTGTAGATAAAATAGTCTAACAAATTAAAATTACCGTTATTTTCCGGTCTTTATCCGTTCAGTCAGATTTTGTGCTGCAAAACATCCATGGCAGCCGTTGTCCATGCTGGCAATTAATAATGGCCATTCGACTTGAATTATATCAATAATTTTAACGGCCATTTAAAACCCGAGGTTCTACCATGTGCATAGTAAAGCGATCACTGCAGGCAATCCTTTTGGGTGGGAATTAATGTAAACACAGATATCGGATACCAGTCGTGTCTAAAGTGAATGTAAACAGACGTGCCAAAAAATCGGATATGGTCAAAAGATCGGATCTGTGCATTAAGACTTGCAGTGTAAACGCAGCCTTACTGTGTTTGCTTAATACTAAATGGGGACATTCCATAGACTTCTACTGTTTTTATATGCAGCCAGTTATAAATATAAATGAATAACTAGTACTAGTTCTCACTCTGAACAAAAGCATATTGGTAAAACTGTAAATATATAGTAAATGCAGATGTACTTACATTTATGCATTTAGCTGACTATTATTTCCAAAATTGCTTACAATACAGGAACATTGGTAATTTGTCACAAAGCCAAGGTAAATAGAGCAGATGAGAAATTCAGAAAAGAAGAAAAAGACAAAAATATTTTGTGTGAGAGTGTGTGTATTTGAATTGTGAACTGGTTTAGTGTGTGTGCCCTTACCAAAAAGTAGTATACTTCAAGTTTATTTTATTAAGTATACTTAAGTAAAGTTCAAGTATATTTTTAAGTATACTTTATGTAGCAAGTATACAAATATCAGTGTACTGGTAGTATACTTGTAAGTGTACTATTTCAATACTCCTTGGGACTATAGAGTCGATCAACACCCCAAAGCTTGACAGTCATTATTACCTCTTCATGGGTCGACATTACATCAACTTTACACAGTTTTGATGCTGTTTTATGTCTGATGATCGTGTTAGATTACATGTGGACGCATCTGTTGTTTCGGTTTCTTCTTTACTTGTGTTTTTAGAAATTCTGTACAGAAAATGTGTACTAGCGTGCCCTACAGTATAACAATGAAAACACGGATTCTAGGAACACAAGTATAGCTCAAATATATTTAGACTTTTTCTAAGTATAAGTCAAGTATACTTAAATGTCATTTTAAGTATATTTCTGAGAAGTACATAAAGCCCATTTCTGAGAAGTACATAAAAAGTAGACTAAAAGTATACTTTCCTATTTTTTAGTTTAAAAGAAGTATACTAATAGCACACTTGAATACACTTCTTTTTTTAGTAAGGGTGCTTTTGACGCACTGATCGCACATTGTATTTATGCACAGACACATGTCAGTATATTTACATTTCCACACAAATTTAGCATAATGTTGTGATTTGCCTTGTGTATGTTGCTATTTTTACTAATTCTAAATGGATCTGTGTATACTATACACAGATCCATTTAGAATTAGTAAAAATAGCAACATACACAAGGTATATGCAGTCAGGTCAAGGCAGTTGGTTTAGGTTTTTTTTTGGATCTGCATGTGGTCCTCTTTATGGTAACCTGACTTGTCTAAAATGTAAACAAGCTCTAAAAACCTATAAACATGCTGTTGCGATGTCCACATATTGTACACTGTGAATTCTGAAAAAAAATCGGTTCTGCTTCTTTTTTCATGTGTGCTTTGGTGTTTGGTATGATAGAACTATATGGATTCCTTATATAATTTGGTTATTAGGTGTCCTTTTGGAGTGTCCAAAGTATACGTATTTCGAAAGACACCTAAATTTACCTTGAAAAAAGCTTGCATTTGTGAGAATCACCCTTCAATATGATGGTTTACTTTGTTAGATATAGCAAATGATTTAAAGGATAAATGGTGTATGCTTAAATAAAAGTGTGTAATTAATCATGATTTATTGCACAAAAAGGGTTTGATTAATCACAATTAAAAAATGTCATCTTTGATAGCCGTAGTTTAAACATTTATACACCAACTGTCCAGATAAAAAAGCAAGGACAGAAAAACTATTCAGAAGTGTAAGGTCCACCCATTGGCCCAACAACGGAATCCAACGGTGTGGGTGAAGGTATAATGCATGTAGATCGTTTACTTGTGCTTCTGTGAAGTTCACTTAATTTATTAGGATTTAGATTCAAATTGATTCTAGCTCCATATTTAATCTGACTCCAATTCATGATCATTAAATTTAGACTGTATTTTTAATGAAGTACTGATCGCAAATATTGGTTATGTATTAATTTAGATATTTGATTATTTTGTATACTTTCCATCATTCATTCATCAGGGATCCGATGTCGCATTTGAGTCTCACATTGGCTGTACGTCACATTGGCTCACGATTGCAAATTCGCAGGGTCGCAGGTTTTGACGCAAACAATGTTTTGAGACAATCTGGTTTGATTGACTTTAGACTGTTGTGCAAAAAACATTAACGTAACTTCTTTGTGGGTGTTTGTGTGTGTGTGTGTGTGTGTGTGTGTATCCAAACATGCCATTACAAAAAAACAAAACAATTTTTTTGTTCTATATGTGCCCTGTCTACATGACAATACAAGAGCCCATGGCCAGTGAAAACAACCACAAGTTAAGAAGAATGACACACATCTACACATAGCTCTAGAGAAGATCACATGGTGAGGGACAAACACCCAGCTGCACACTCACATAGACACAAAACAATTAACCACATGAGTGTCAGGATCATGTCACCAAACGGAGAACTAGACTAACCAAAGTGACAGATCCCTGAAAAAAAAACAAAAAATA